ATTCTTTGATAGTCCGATGAAGCCTTGCAAATGACGATAGTTTGTGTAATGGTTGGATCCAGACGCACGTCCCAGCGAACAGCTCATGTGAATCGGTGATATATGCTTACGGTACACCATTGGAACCGCATTGATTTCTTCTGGTATTGCTGCTAATACAGGTGGGAAACGATGGTTTTTTACTGTTTTGCACGACGAGCAAACGGCAATCTTGATATGGTCTTGGTTGTTCATACGCAAAGGTAGCTGAAGTTTGGGGAATGCTGTCGTTAGGTCGTAAGTTTCATCAGGGTCGTAATCAACCCATTTCGCAGCAGTACTCATCATTAGGATAGAACAATAGGCGCAAGGAGTAGATGGGTGATCATACAGTATTTTTTTTTCGAATTTGTCTAAAAGTTCTAAAAGTTTTTCTGAAGGGTGCCATGGCTGCAATGACAAAGCGGACACTGGCCGGTTACTCAGCAGAGCATTCGGCAAGCTCTGATTCACTTCGTTACGATCCACATATGCAGAAAGGAACGAAATGTCACGAGCATTATTATTATTATTATTAACACGACGAGTATCTGGATCAGGAACGATAAAATCCGAAATGGGATAATTATTCATGGTTTTTTTTTTTTTATTTTGTATTGACAATTTTTTTTCAACAAAATTTATTTTTTAGACAAGATGTCCCAAACGCATTCTTTTTATACAATTTATCGAGGGCGAGCATCATCACGTTTTATGCAAATCAGGATTGGAGATTAGATTTTTATTCTTTATTTGTTTTTCAAATCAGTAAAACTAAGATATTGATTGATTGATCACAAAAAAAAATAATCTATATTAAAAAAAAAATTTTTACTTCTTCATTACACAACAGCAAGCCAAAAACATCGATCATTCATCATCGCTGTATGCCTCATTGTTTGATCAGTGATCAATATCAAGGTCTTCCTCTTCGTCGTTGGAACACAGCAACTCAGGTCCTTTCCCCTTTCTGTTAACTTGATCCATCGCCGTTTGCAAGGCTTTTGCTCTTGTGATGGGCCTGTTCGGTGGACTCAGCTCTGTGCAAACTTTTTTGTGAGATTCATTGTCATCAACCACCACTACTTGTCTTTTATTATTTTCTACAGTGTTGGTGGCGGCGGCTGATGTTGAGGTCAACGGTGATGTGGATGATGATGCAAACGACGACGATGATGACGCATTGTTGACTTTGCGCCTATTGTTTGACTTCTTGCCTACGTACTTCTCCTCTATGCTCAGAAACTTTTGCCTGCGCATGCTTTTTCCAGGCGAAACCTGTTCATTCTTCACTTTTGGAAATACCCAATCGACCTCGGTGCAAATTATTTGTGCAAGGTTCTCGCCTATGAACAATTCTCCAGCAGCGCTAAAGATCGGTGCCTTTTTTGACGCTTCCGCGATTGCAGCAAATCTTGGGTTTGAGTGGTCATAGACGCAAGGGATCTCAACGTCTTCGCTTGAGGAAGTGAATGTATTGTAGATTTTCTTTCCCAGAACAAAAAAATTACACTCATCATCAGTGGCCACTGCTTCTGCAACACACGGAGCACAAAATGAAGCAAACAATGGGGTAATTGGGAGGTCGTGGACTCCAGGTTCCTCGCGAGTTGTTTTTAGGTCAAGATCTACCGCCTTTAACACAATTACCTGCGAAAATATTTATTGTCAAGTTAGTTTAGGTGTAAAGGAACAAAACACTTCCTTCACATACACAGTATAAATATATTTACGTATAGTTGACCAGAAACAAACAGAAACTTGCCCACAATGGACATTATTCAGTGTTTTTCTATTTGATGGACCAGGTTGTTGTCAGCAGAGTTCATTCTAAATGCTTTGTAATTGACCTCCACATACTCTTGCTCATCCACACGGCATACAGCCACCCCAGTCACTGTATCCCTATGCAAAGTTTAAATACTTATTTTCTACTTATTTTATACTTATTTTTCTTATAGAGGTATGTTTTAAGTATGTTTTGACATGTATTTTAAGTACATTTCATAAAATGATGATCATTGATTTTTTACAAAAATTGATTGGATACACTTATTTTATCATTAAAACACCCTTATTTTTTGCAGTAATAGAAACATTTGTGTACTTAAAATATACTTATTTTCCACTTATACAAAAATTAAAATTTATATAGTATAAAATAAGTATGTTTTTAGTATTATTAAATTTAGAATAAAAAATTAAGAATTATTAAAAAATTCAATTTGCTTAATTTTTTTACACTTATTTTTAATATCAACAAACACACTTAAATGTAACTAAAATATGCCACATGAGTTTGTTACCAAGTTTTTATGATTGTTTTTCTTATTTATAGATAAATTTTTTTAACATAGGAAAACAACAAAATTAAACCAATTAACATTTTTTTATTTTTTTGAATGAAATTTTGATAGTCTGTTTTTTTAATAAAAAAGGGGTTTTGATGTTTCGCGAAAATGGTTGTGTTGTGTAATAATTGATAAATTTTTTTGGTACAAAAAATGTATTCATTTTGGCAAATTCTTAACATTTTTTGTAAACTAAAAACTTATTTTTCTGTTATAATTTTCTTCTGTCACACAATTAATCTTGTTTACAAAAAAATTTCTTCGACACAAACTGCTATATAAACCTTGGTTTAATATATAAAAAAGACTTCTTTTGGGTAGTAACTTATAATTATATACATTATATACACTTGTATTATTATTGTACATACTTTCTTTTAGGCGAAAAAGATAATATTTTCTTTTGAAGAAAAATAATCTTTGAAGAGATGTTTTAAGCATGGAAGTTTAAAGTAACAAAAGGTTATGCAACTAGTAAGGAAAAATTATTATTATATTACTTTATTACTTTATTACTTTATTATATAATATTAATTACTTTTCTTTTTCAAAAAGGAAAAAGAAAAAAGAATATTATAATAATGGTATATTATTTATTACATTATTATTTTATTACAGATCTAGGTGAACAAGCTTGTTACGCAACAATTAAGGGAAAAAAAATCATTATATATATTGTTATTATATTATATTATTACTTATTATTTTAATTACTTTTCTTTTTCAAAAAAAAACAGATCTAGTGAACACTTATTATGCGATTAGCAAGGAAAAAAAAGAAAATCATTATATATATTATTATTATATTATATTATTACATTACATTATATTACATTAATTACTTTTCTTTTTCAAAAAAAAAAACCGGATCTAGTGAACACTTATTACGCGATTAGTAAGGAAAAAAAAGAAAATCATTATTATTATATTACATTATTTTATTATAATATTAATTACTTTTCTTTTTCAAAAAAAAAAAAAACGGATCTTGTTACGCACTAGTAAGAAAAACATTATATATATTATTATTATTATATAAATTATATTATATTATTTTATTTTATTATAATATTAATTACTATTACTTTTCTTTTTCAAAAAAAAAAAAACCCCCCGGATCTTGTTACGCGGCTAGTAAGGAACAAAAAAAGAAAAACATTATATATATTATTATTTATATAAATTATATTATATTACATTATAATATTAATTACTTTTCTTTTTCAAAAAAAAATGGATCTTGTTACGCGGCTAGTAAGGAAAAAAAAAATCATTATATATATTATTATTATATTACATTATATTTCATTATTATTTTAATTACTTTTCTTTTTCAAAAAAAAAAACGGATCTAGTGAACACTTATTACGCGATTAGTAAGGAAAAAAAAGAAAATCATTATATATATTATTATTATATTACATTATTATTTTATTATAATATTAATTACTTTTCTTTTTCAAAAAAAAAACGGATCTTGTTACGCGGCTAGCAAGGGAAAAAAAAGAAAATCATTATATATATTATTATCATATAAATTATATTATTATTTTATTATAATATTAATTACTATTACTTTTCTTTTTCAAAAAAAAAAAGGATCTTGTTACGCGGCTAGTAAGGAAAAAAAAGAAAATCATTATATATATATTATTATTATATAAATTATATTATTATATTATTATAATATTAATTACTATTACTTTTCTTTTTCAAAAAAAAAAAAGGATCTTGTTACGCGGCTAGTAAGAAAAAAAAAAGAAAATCAATATATATATTATTATTATATAAATTATATTATAATATTAATCACTTTAAAAAAAAACAGGTCTTGTTACGCGGCTAGTAAGGGGGAAAAAAAGAAAACATTATATATATTATTATTATATAAATTATATTATATTACATTATTATTTATTATAATATTAATTACTTTCTTTTTCAAAAAAAAAAACGGATCTTGTTACGCGGCTAGTAAGGGAAAAAAAGAAAATCATTATATATTATTATTATTATATTACATTATTACATTATACTACATTATAATATTAATTACTTTTCTCTTTCAAAAAAAAAACGGATTTAGTTACGCAAAAAAAAAAAGAAAATTGTGGAAAAAAAATAATATATTATTATATATATTAATATAGGTGAACAATATTGTTATGCAACAAAAATTAAATATTAATATATATTATTACTTATTTTCTTTTTCAAAAAAAAATATGTGGTTAAATGATTCACAATTTCATCATGATTACAATTTTTCAATTATAATAATATTAATTAATTAATTAAATTACTTGCATTGTTTAGGATCCAATAAAAGAAAGCCTAAAGATAAATCTCCAAGCAAAAAATCCAAAAAATCACCAGCAAAGAAAGAAAATAAAAATACCAGATTAAAAAGAAATTGTAATAAAAACATTTGAATTAAAAAAATAATTTTTATACATTAAGTACATTTACTCCTTACATCAAGTACATTTACTCCTTGCATTAAATACATTTACTTCTTACATTGAGTATGTTTACTCCATACATTGAGTATGTTTCTTTCTTACATTGAGTATGTTTACTCCATACATCAAGTATGTTTACTATGTACATTGAGTATGTTTCTTTCTTGCATTGAGTACATTTACTTCTTACATTGAGTACATTAATTCTTACATTGGGTACATTAATTCTTACATTGAGTATGTTTCTTTCTTACATTGAGTATGTTTACTCCGTACATTGAGTATGCTTCTTTATTACATTGAGTACGTTTGTTTCATACATTGAGTACGTTTTTTAGTACAATCTCATTATTTATAAAATTTATAGGTTTTTTCCCATGTACGTAAAAATGCATTTTTCCTTACATCACATACACATTTCCGGAAAATTTTACGTACATTATTAAAGGATTATTCCTTACAAATAAATATTACAAAATGTAAGGAACTTCCGTACATAAATTTTCTATAGGGCAATGAATGCTTACATCAATTTCAGGAGATAAGTATCTGATTTCTTTTATGGTACACAAATTCTTCAAAGAATTATTTGCAGGTGTTGAGGAACGAAGGTGTGACATTAAACTTCTTACTTTTATTATTGGTTCATCAATGAGTTGAAGTCCTTGTTGTACTGCAAGGTTTAGAACATGAGCAGCACATCTATATGTGAAAATTTATCATTATTATAATTATTTTTTAATTCTCCAGACAAAAAAGTCCACAAGCTACCATTGTGGTGACATTATCTGTTGTCAAACCAAGAACTTTTTCACAAAGTTCATACTCTTCTAATATTTCAATAATGGCATTAGTTATGTTTATTGCTGTATGTTGAGCTAACATTGGAATTATATCCAGCAAAAAACTTTTAAACTTCCAATCATTATCAACATAATGAATTGTGAGACTGAGGAATGCTTTATTGTTGTTGGCAGTCCACATGTCAGAAGTCAAAGAAACTTTTCTGCTAATTTGTTTTATTGTAGCTTTAACTTTATTTTTCTGTTCTTGAAATCTCAACATTATATGATCATGAATGGTAGTTCTACCATGAAATCTATATCTAGGATCAAAAGCAGAAATCATTGTATGCCATTCTTCTTTCTCTACTACATTAATTGATTGTAAATCACAAATTATCCAATTTGTCACAGCATCATCACGTTTTCTCTGATCAATTGAATTATGAGGATCATTACAGTATTGATGTAAAGTTCTTTGTATTTTGGGTGCAACAACTGAATGTATTTGTTTCAGATGTCTTCGTAAAGTAGTAACACTACTAGTTTTTGAAAATTGGCTATTACATTTCTTACATACTAATTTATTTGGTGTAACACGAAAAACTCCCAAACTGTACTCTTTTGAATATTATTTTTATGTGATGATGATGTTTGTTGTGGATGTTGTTGTGGATGATGATGATGATGATGACGATGTTAAATTACTAGATATATTAGAAACTGAGTTTTCAACATAAATGGTTTCATTTTCATTAAGGAAACTCTTCTTCTCCTTCGAAATTGTGATTTAATTCCTCTGAGGACATCACAGAAACTAAGCCTTCATTTTGTTTTTGTTGTTGTTATTGCTACAACTCCTATTCTTTTTACTACTATTTCTGTTTTAATTACCAATAATAATAATATTATTAATACCTACTACTGTTACATCATTAAGTTATATTAAATAAACTATTGGTTTTTATTATACATACTAAATTATTATATTATTTTTTTATTATTAATTAAAGTTCCTTAATAACAGCCTCAAAAAGTGAACAATGTAATAATTAATTTTTTAACAAAAGTTTGGCCTTCGATAAGACATAATAAATAAAAACTCCCCAAAAAAAAGATAATCTCATCAATTTTAACATAAAACCCGGTGTACAAAAAGAAGAAAATTTTTATTGTTCAAAATTTCCTTATTAAGAAAGATCAGCTGGTCTTATAAAGACCAGTCCTAAAATTTAGGACTGTGGTTCAAAGGGACTGATCTTTTAAAGACCAACACAACCCTAGTATATTGTTAATGGGTAATGCCTGCTTGTATACAATTGTTTAAACATTGTGATCATTAGATGGACTTTCTTCAATAATATGAACAGAATAAATAAAAAATAAAAAAATAGATAATGAATGTATATTAATATTAATAATATCTTACACATTATAAATATATATCCCATTTCATTATGTGTTTTAACCTGTAAATATAGTAATAACATAATAGATATTATTATTATGATCTTTTAGAAATGTCTAACAGTGTGAAGAATATTATGAAAGAGGGTTGATAAAAAACATTAAAAAAAAAAAAAAAAACTAAATAATGTTAATAAGCTTACCACAAGTGTAAGGGAAGGAAATGTGATTTATTAATCTCAACAGTTCATATAAAATATTGACAATGTAAAAGATCAGTAGTATTGTATAATAACAAAGTAAATTATAATAATAAAAATATAATAAAACATTAACAAAGGTACCTAAAATCATGACAATTTCAGAAAGCTCCATGCAGATTTACTGTCATCAACCTATAAACTTCGCTTCTTGTTCATCTCTGCAACTGAACTTGATTGACTTGATGGGAAAGAACTTTCAGTATATAAAACACCCAAATAATGTTTATGCAAAGTTTCATGCATATTTGTTTGTGGAATTTTTATGTCACATTAATGAGTACTTTTTCAATTAATTTTGTTAGTTGCACAATATAATATGATCATCACTTTATGTCACATTTAGTGTTAAAATCGAAAGTCCACTATGCTCCACCCCCAGGTAAGACATTTTGATCACGTGTATAACAATCATTTGCCTTTTTAGGTATCAACAAAGCACAAGCGAAAAAAGAATTAATTTTATTAATAAATCAAATATTTTAAAAGCGACATTGGAGTAAATAAATTTTCCTTTATAATATATCATGATCTCTTGGAATTTCTGGGTATGATTTGCATTGGCTATTTCTTGATGAAAAAACCTATTTGGTTCTGAGTGTAATAACTCCTATTTATTTGAAAATTACAAACAATGCATCCTACTAAAGGAAAATCTAAAGAACAAAACTCAAGGACTTCTTAATTACAACAAAAGTGGCCTCTTTTTGTCAAAATATATTTAAGGAAATGTATATCAAATAAAAATGATTAATTATAACATTTATTTATATAAAAATATGAGAATTAATTGCCATATCATCCTGTAGACAAAAAGTGCAATACAATTTTTTGTGCAAATGACAATTGGTTTACATGTAGATCATTCCCAAACTGAAACACTTACATTATAAAAATGCACTGAAGCCATTATGATCACGTTAATTATGAGATTATGTGTGACCTAAGATTTTCTGTTATCCCCCACCCCCTAAAATATTAGCTAATATATGTCAGCACCCTTATACAGTCTAACCTCGCCACAGCGGATTTTGTCACAGCGGATTTCTTGTCACAACAGATTTAAGTATTGGCCCCTTTTTTTATTAATTAAAAAATATTTGTCACAACGGATTTTATTAATAAACTTGCATCACCCTTGAATGTAATTTGACAATTACAGATCTTATTATTAAACAGAAGAGTATAAGATTTGCAGAATTATTAAATATTCAAGATTTTAATGGTTCCTCTGGTTGGTTAAGTAATTTCAAACAAAGATATTCAATCTGTGAATATTCTAAACATGGTGAAGCACAAAATGCACCAATTGAACAACTTCCTGAAATGAGAAGAGATTTGCAGAATATCCTTAGAGAATACCAATTAGATAATATTTTCAATTGTGACAAAACTGGCCTTTTTTGGAAAATGGAGCCATCACGTGGATTATCAACTGGACCACTGTTGGGGGTCAAACAAGACAAAAATAGAGTAACGGTTTTGCTTACATGCAATGCATCTGGGACAGAAAAATTGGTGCCTTTGTTCATACATAAATATCAAACTCCATGGCCTTTAAGAGGAATTGATAAAAAAACATTACCAGTAGGTTATTATTGGAATAGTAAAGCTTGGATGCAAGTATCAATCTGGAACGATTATATTAAAAAATTAGACAAAAGAATGAAAGCTGAAAAAAGAAATATAATATTGCTTGTTGACAATGCACCAACACATAGTTTGACCAAAGATTTACAATTAACAAACATAAAGGTTCATCATTTTCCACCAAATGTAACTGCACACCTGCAGCCATGTGATGCAGGAATAATCCACAGCTTCAAGGTTAGTTAATTCAATTATCTAATTTAAATTTAATCTAAATTATTTATCCTATACAAATACTAATGCTTGTATTATATTACAGTCACATTACAGAAAATTAATGCTTGAAAAAAAAAATAAAAAATTATGGTTCACATATTTCATACCTCAATCCTACTACATCTTCTAATTCTGTTGCATCTTCATCAAAACCCATTGATATAAAAAAAGCAATAAAGTATGTTGCTAAAGCTTGGGATAATGTAACACCAACTACCATTATTAATTGTTGGAAGAAAACTGGGATTCTCTCTTTGGAAGAAGCATCAACTAATTATGAAATTGAAAATTCAACAAATATAGTTAGAGAGATTTCAAATAGAGAAATAAGTGATGTTAATTGTTTAATCAACCAATTATCATTTACCGCACCATTAGAAGCAGAAGAATATATTACCATTGATGATTTTCAAATAAATAATATGGTAACAGAAGAAGAAATAATTGCTTCTTTCAATCCAGCAGAAGAAGTTGTTGTTGAGAATAACAGTATACCTAAAGTTTCAATGAAAGATGCAGTAAATGCTTTTGAGGTTGCTTTTAATTACCTTCAACAAGGTGATCTAGAAGTAGATTATAAAGAATTTAAAGCTTTTAAATCATTGAAAAGAAAAGTGACATTATTAAATAATGAAAAATTAATACAACCAAATATTATAAATTATTTTAACAAATAGATTTTAATAAAAAATATTATTTATCATTTTTAAAAAAAATTTTGCAGATCATCAAATTTGCCATAGCGGATTTCTCGTCACAGCGGATTTTTTTGGCTGGTACCATAAATCCGCTGTGACGAGGTTAGACTGTACTGACATTTTTTGCTTGCACATAGTGTCATTATAACGGGAATGACTCTGAAGGTTCACAAAATGAAACAATAATAAGAATAAAATACCAATAATAGAATACCAATAATGAACATTCAATTAATTACTATTTTTTAGTTGATATAAATTCAAAATAAAGTTTTCATTGTGTACAGGCATCAACTATGCCATCCTGTCCAGCTAATCTTGATATGATGACTGTAATGACTATGGATGTTATTTGAAGAAATTTGTCATGTTTTAGTGATTAGTGCAGTTGAAGCAGACATTAAAGAAGGTGATGATGATCTACCAGCAGAGCCAGAAGATAATGATACAAAAGATCACAATGATGAAGGAGGAGATGCCTCTGATTCTGGTAATCAAGAAATGTTTGATGAATTAGCAGCAGACATATCATATAATAGAAGAACCTCAAGATAAATGTTATATTATAATCAAAATGAAAATAAGGTAAAGTAGAAGCTGGAAAGGAGGAGGGAGATTGGTGAGTCAGAGGAATAAGGTGGTGATTTAGATGAATATGTTGGACATGATACACATTATATAATGTCAGGTTATTAGTATTGCAACTATTATTATATTTATTGAGAGGTTAAAAACTTTAATATTTCTAGAAAATAATTATTTTTAAAAATTTAAAAATAAAATGATCAAGAATTTTTCTTTTCATTGGAAAAAATTTATTGAAAAAAGGTTAGATTTAAGAATAGACTTTTTTTGAAAAAACTTATTTATTATGATGTATATCTTTGATTTATTATTATATTTGTTGCCTTTTGCAGGGAATTTTTTCTTGTATCATTCCATCAATCATTGCTGAAGATGATCTTTTTAGTTGTGGAAATCTTGATTCTAATCCACCATTCTTTAATTTTTCAAGTTGGTATTTTGCTTCTAAAGCTTTGTGTCTAAAATCAATAGCTTCGAAATCATTTGGTATAATCATATGTTCAATTAAATTTTGAAATAATGCCGGATTTAAATATATATTATCTTTTTATAAATTAAAATATGTAAATATTAATAATTGATATTTCAAATGATAATCATAATTAATTAATTAATTACCAGAATTCATTTTATATAAAGTACTTAAAACCTCCTTGACAATATTTGAATCAAATAATTTAGGATCATCAACTATCATACTAAATACTTGAATAATATGCATCTCAGATCTTTGAATGATAATACATTGAAACCTATCTACTAATACATCTTTCAGATTTTCATTAAGTGTATGTTTTACAAAAGTTTTATCCTATTACCATTATATGAAAATTAGTTATTGGTAAAAAGAAAATGAATTATTTCTTCTTTACTAACCAAATAATTAAATACACTGCTCAATATCTCAATAGCTCTTGCATGATTTATGGATATTTCAGCAAATTTTTGAAACCATTCATCTAATTGTTTATAGTTTCCTAATCGGTTATTTATAAATTCCAATGTTTCTTCTATTATTAATTTCAGATCTTGATATAATCTTTTTTGGAAACCTTGCAAACATATCCAATATATGCTTCTGTTAAATCAAAAAAGGTTGAGTGATATACTTTATTTGTATGCAATTAATTTGCCCAAACAGCCATATAAAAACCTGTATAATTCTTCATGTGAATATGTGTGTAAAGGTCTTTTAATTTGTGATTCAACTTGTAAGGTATTTTGAATAAAATTTGATAGTTGAGGCCAGAAGGTATTCTCATATGTAAACTTGTTAACTTGAAAAAATTTAAAAACTTTTATGAACATGTTAAAAAAACTTTTTTTTTATTTAAATTAATTAATTGATATATAAACCTGATTCCATTGAAATATTTAGCTCGATATTGAAAATTATTTTGAAATCATCTACCAATATCAGTATATCAGTTGATCAACAAATATGCGGATTTTTAATGGTTACCAGTGCTCAGGTACTCTAATTTGCCGTGGTTTTCCGGCAAAAAAATTTTAAATTTCTATTACAGATACCATAATGAAATTTATTAATTTTTTAGTGTACCCTTTAAGTATTTCGATGTATGCAAAGATGAATTAAAGTGCATTCATACTCTTAGAAAAAAATTATTAAGTCATAAGATTAATAATTCGACGCAACAATCTTTAGATAAATATTTTTGTTTAGAATAATTTTGTAAATTTATATTTTATAACGTTGTAAGACAAATTTATTTTGAACAATTAATAAAAGTAATAAGATAAACCGACTATTTTTGTGATTCCCAAAAGTTCGGTTTATTGAGGTTTGACTTTATCTGGCCAAGGTTGTCTGACTTGTGGCTTAACAAGATATATGTTGTCCGATTTATCAAAATTTTTAAATATAAAAAAAAGGGCTGTAAATTTTTGTCCGAATCCCAACTTACCAAGTGCCTGGTTTATCGGGTTGAGATTTAATGGCTATAAAAATGCCAGTGATGTAAAAAACTCATTTGAAATACAATAAAAATTTCTATACATTGCTTTATTACAATTCTAAAAAACTATATGAAATGGCAGTGTTCTATAAGTGCATATACTAAAAACCTTCATTACACCGGTTGCTTTTTTAGAAAAAGGGTAACCATCAGTGCACAAAATTTTGTGGTGAAATTGGTAGATTCCCGACAGCTTTGAAAAAATTACTGAATTGCCAGTTTCATGTAACAATGTCAACAAAAAAGTTTTTTTTAATTATGAATTTATTCCAATTTGTTGACCAAAGTAACCACTGGTATATTATAAATCAATCAATTTTATAGTTCTGGCAGTCTAAGACATATTTTAAATAATTCTTCCGAGTTGAATGTTATAATATTTATATAGGTTCTACAAATATTTCTTATGTCTCAGCATTATTATTAGTACATATAATTCTGTGTATTACGAGGCAGAAAAAATGGATAATTTTCATGATAAAATTTTTAAACATAATTTCTGTCATGAGAATTGTATATATTTTTTATCAAAAAATGACATTTATTTAAGAAAACTTACAATTAGTAAATTAAGTGTAATTGATATTACCGAAGGATTGGTTACACATCCAAAATTTCAGATCATAAAATGCTAATGGCTATTTCAAAACTCTTGAAGAACAATTTTGAAATGAATTTTTGATGTCAGCATTTGGTATAATGATTGATGAATCAACTGATATACAAGTGACAAAACATTTATGTATGCTATGAAATAAAAATGAGATTTTTACAATTACCTGG